CTTGTCCCACCACCTCCTCAACACTCGTCTCCACGCCCCCCCTCCCACCCCCTCCTCTTCCGCCCCTTCACCCTCCAATAGTCAAAGCCAATGAGACCGAGACCCCATGCCAGAGGACTGGTAAAAGGGCCGACGTATGGAGTGATGACACAGTTGCAACCACAGAGCAGATAGCTTATACAGCGTTATCCTCGCCATTCCCTGCTTGAGCAGCTGCATGCTAGGATGTGGAAACCTAAGTGGCGTGCAGCGACAACAACAGGTAGTGGCAGTTTGGAACCGACGAAGTCCGTCAACACTCATCAAAAACAAAACTTGCATTCCCTTGTCACGCACAGTACCCCCCGCAACCCCCCTCCTTCATACCCCACCCACCACCTCTCACAGAAAGCGGCGGTCAGATGTCCTGCACATGAAATCCACAAGCAACAGCCACAAACTGACTGTCAGGACTCAGAAGCAGATGGAGCTGCCCCCAGCAACCACCTTGCACCGCCGAATTATTAAACATAGGTCAGCTAACCACACACTACAGTGCCACCATTCCACAAGCAACAGCAAGAAACCAACTGCCAGGACTTAGACGTAAATACACCACCACCTCAGGAATCAGAGGGTATCTAGCTGCTGGGTGCAGATGCTCATATCACTCCCCCACAGTAGACTCAGCCGAAATGTTTTTTTTTTTTTTTTTTTTTTTTTTTTTGGGGGGGGGGGGGGTTTTTTTTTTGCAGGCCCCGACCGTCGTGTCGCTTCGCCGGCGACCGGTAGCGTGCAGTGGTGGGGGGTGGACGTCGGCACGTTGGCTGGGGGAGGGGAAGAGGTAGGTACGTTCACATCACTTGTGTCGAGTATCGAATAAGCAAAAAGAACATGCGCCAGGAAAGAAACCAGGCGCTGAGTTCGACAAAGCAATGAAAATAACCAACGGTCATGGTGTCCAGGTGGGTGTCGTAGTTATACAAGGCTCGGCCATGGTGTCAGATGGGGAAAGGAAAAAAAAAAAAAAAAAAAAAAAAAGCCCAACGGATATACTTTTCGGCCCAAGTTGCCGTTTCGAAGTCGGCGCCCGTTTTCTTCGCCGTTGTTTCAAAAAATAAAAAACAGAGAGTGTCCGATTCCAGAGTACAAATGAATCACATTAATTACCGAACAATGGCGACCGACCAACAGCATGCGACATCACTCACATCGCCACACAAGCCAATGGAGCTGTTCCCAGCGACCACCTTGCATCGCCGAATTATTAAACACAGGTCAGCTAACCACACACCATAATGCCACTATTGCTGAGCGATCGTCGGCCCATCGACCATCAGTAGGCCCTACCAGGTACACCGTGTACCATCTACACGCGGCTATGGCCCAGTTAGTGGTACCCTATCCCGCACTGCAAATAAGACGAAGGAGGAGAGCTTATCGGGGCCATCAGATACTCGCATTATGGTAAACATTGAGCACAGAAACATGGCAACGACTTACACTAGGCTGTCATCTGTACCCCTATGCATCTACTCAAGTAGTACTGCAACTACTCTGCCTCGTCTTCGGAGCGTTCTGCAATCTTCCCCCGACCACCATGCACCCTCGTCGTGACAATACCAGAATATCGGGTAGGACAGATACAGTCCACCTATTCACGACTAGTGTGGGCTGTGTTCGGGGGGACGAGGGCATCAGCCTGACAATGACCCCACCGACATACATAGCCGGTGCAAGGTCCCAGCATGCCAGGCACGCGAGCAAGTCGTGGAAACTTGCAGGTGCAGACTGGCCTTCCTCCACGGACGACTACCTTCTTCCCCGGGACACAGCGCCCCCCCCAAGCATCGGGACGGTACCGGGACCACAACAGATCTGTATATGTTCATGACGGCGATGCATTTACCGTTCACGGCGTCCAGGGGAAGATGTTAGCTGCTCTGATGACACACCATTTTGAGGAGATCTTCAGACTCTCCCACAGCCGGCTGGCCTTTGACAACACAGGTCAGGAGGATATGGCCCTCAGGCCTCGCTCCATTACAGAACCCTCTACATGCATTTGGACACTGTCTGCACCAGATACATTCCAAATGTTCGACTCGTCCGAAAGCACGTGGTCGAGAAAGCGTCCAAATGCATGAACAGTGTTGTGTAGTGGAGCGAGGCCCTCATTTGCAGCCAATTCAGATGCATCAGGGGAGCAGATCGAGGACACTAATAACAACAGCACCGGACTACCATCTTCACCCGAACAGAACGCCTAGTCATTACAGCTGTATGTGGTGCAAACCTTCAGTCCGGATACAGTGATAATGACCATCAGGCGTTCTGTTCTGTTCGCGTGAAGACGGTAGACTCCCACAGGTGAAGAGCAAAAAGGGGAAAAAAATAGCGACTTGGTACGCGCGCACCAAATCCATGAGCGGAGGGTTTCTCGAGTCCGAACTCCAAACACAACGGACACGGACATCTCGTGCCTCACTCCACTACACAACACTGTACATGCATTTGGACGCTTGAGGAACCAGGTCCATTCGGACGATTCCAACGTTGTGAATGTATTCGGCCAAGAAAAAGCGTCCAAATGCATGTACAGTGTTCTGAAGTGGAGCGAGGCCCTATGGCATGCAGGCGTTACAGGACTTAATGAACACATGACGCAAGCACTGAAGCTCGATACACTCCGAATGCCCCTCAGTTCTATCTGTGACGAAGACTCGAAGAGTAAGCTGGGCGTCATGGGGTTCACAAAACCGCACCACACATGACAAAAGCACCGCGCGGCAAAGCGAATGAGATCTCACCGATTTCATCAAGCACCGATTTGTTTTCCTTTTCCCACGTCTTTTCTCACCGCTTGTCATTGAAGGAAAGACATTCTCAGAAGATCATTTCGCCAAAAAACAACAGAAAAAAGAAGAGGATCATTTTGCCCTTATTTGAAGTTTACTTTTTCATATGATGCTTTGGCACTCCTCACCTGCTTTGTGCTCCCTAATTCGGATGCTTTCTTTTTTTGGAGGACCTTCCTCCTGTAGAAGCCTAGCTACGTTCACAAAAAGGATATTCGCGCAGCAAAAGAAAATGTCTCTCTCTTTGGAGCAAAATAAAAATAATAAAATAAGAAGAGTTTTCAATCTTAACGAATCAGTTCAAATCACTGACAAGAGCATACTCGAACCAGGAGTTTAGCGACTGATTCTGGCCATAATCACAATCAACTGCGTTCACCACGGTCATAATCCCAGTCGAATGCATCCGGATCATCCTAGGAACCATTTAATGCCACTTGCAATTGCCTTTTATTCTTTTCTTTTCTTTTCTTTGTTTTGGAGACGGAGGAGGGGGCGGGGGGGAGGAGGGGCGTATTGCCTTTTTGTTGACGTGGTTCGAGTATATTTCAAGTGTGACTACGTCCACCCCTGAACTGTTGAAACTTGAAATACGGACCCCGTTCGAACTCCACTGGAAGCAGATGAGAAAAATACTACAATTCCAAATTAGGAAATTACTTAGGGCCAATCAGTTCAATGATTCTATCTCAAGGCCGTTGCCCTTTCTAAGAAGGTAGGGTAAAAAAAAAAAAAAAAAAAAAAAAAAAAAGATGCAAGAAACAAGGCTTGGCAGCTCAAATGATGACGTGTCAGATACTACAAGCTACAAGGACCAGCCAAATATAATCACTCACCTCAGTCACCTGCAATTTTTAAACCCCTCTGGTTCTGCAACCCTCCCGCGGCCCCGTCCAAGACCCGTAAGCGTGTGGGGTTCCGACCTCAGGGCATGCTCACACTACCTTCAGTCATTGTATCTCTGTATTGGGGATATCTTTCAGTCTAAATACAGGAATGATTACCGTACGTTCTATTCGGGGGAAGAAGGTAGTAGGTTCCTAACTGTATCCGACAGCAATTACGGTCACACCTGGATGAATCGGACTGTGATCGCCTCCAGAGCTCAGCAAAAAAGAAAAAGAAAAGAAAAAAAAAAACAGGTCCTATATACTGTCAGTATGCCCTACAGAATGACAATCATCAGAGTTAGATTTGATGTCAGTTGGTCTGATTTGATTTGATTCGGTTCGCGATTTGATTGCAATTCAAAGCGAACAAAAAGTTTCACAAAAAGCTCTCCGTCAATCGCCTGGCAAATAAAATCTCTGCACCATACCCCCAAGCAACACTGGGCATAAACTATACGATTCCCCCCCCCCCCCCCAAAAAAAAAAAAAAAAAAAAAAAAAACTTACGATGGTTGACTGCCCGCGAAGATTATTTTTTTCAACCCAAAATTGCTACTACTCGTATCATGGAGGAGAGAATTCCAAAGACCGCCACTGTCGCGTAGAGACCAAAGCTACCGTCTTCACCCGATACAACATACGGTCATTATATTTGGGGTGTTTCACAGAGTCTAAATATGGAAATAACGACCTTACGTTGTGTTCGGGTGAAGACGATAGTAGATTGACTCTGACGGGGCCAAACGAGACA